TAATAATTGGGATAAATAAACTAAAAATTAAGGAAAAAACGGAAATTTTTACACACAATCAGTTTTCGACAAAATTGATTTTGGTTTTTGATGTAACTTATCTAATGATCATAGCAGAGCTTGCGCTAAAGAAATATTAAAACTGCACAATATACTGTTTGTATTTCAGAAGTAAAAAAATTTGATACTCGCTTCGCTCGCACATAAAAAAAAAATAATAATAATAATAATAATAATAATATTATATTATACGTCATAATGTATACATTATTTTATGACCGTAATTTTAATCTTTTGATAATCATAGATAAATATTTATTATTATAATATGCATTAAAAATAAAAAAAATATGTAACAAATATGCAAGAACATTTTTTTTTACTTACATAAAATTCACAAATTAAACAACTTACAATAATTAATTACTTAAATAAACTGAGTACTTAAATAAAAAATGTTCATTTTAATATACAATATATTTCGATTTTCGTAAAAATTTACAGAAATATACAAATAAAATTTCACCATAAGATTCAAATTATTACGCTTTGTGACAAAAATACAATTAGACCGTAGGATATTAATGATATTAAAAAATAAATACTCCACGCGTTGTCTAAACACGTTGATTGCAGCATGGGTACAATTCACTAATTCAGTGATACCCATGTGTGGAAATTTTTGTATAAATATTCAACACATGACAGTCCAAGAAAAACAACATATTATAACTAAATAAAATATTAATATTTCATTGGCTAAAAGAAAATAACCATTGAAGTTCCACGTAGAGCTATTTTCGAATAATAATTTGTAATAATAGTTTAATAATGATATATTTATAATATAATGAATTGGTTATCTTACTTGGAAAATCGAGTACAAATAATATAAAAATAGCCGGAATTTCAAATGACAAATTTAACAATGTAAAAGGTCTACCCTATGCATTTAACATATTATTACAATCCGTCAATCCACATTAGTTCATGGTTATATCCTAATGTCTCGATAATATAATTTGATTATTATGAATTATTATAACTTTAATACAAATCGTTTTGATCTATATTATACTATTATCTATAGTATATTAGTTATTGTTTTACAATGCTAAAATAGGTAGGTAGCAGACAGCAGTAAGTACTGCACAATTAGCGTTTTAGAACTGCACAATTTGTGTTGTACTGCACATTAGCGCAAACCCTGGACCATAGATACATGACATTTTCACCAAATGTTTAGGTATATAAGTATATTCTCTCTACAATGAAATTAAAAAAAAAATGTCGATTTAAGTCGAACTATTTATAGGCATATGCCATTTTCGATCATTATTGGTTTTTTTTAAATTATTATCGATAAAAATGTATTTGTTGGGTAGAAAACCTTAAAAATTTAATTCAAGACACCTAACAAATACATCGTTACAATAGCAGTTGAAAAATATTAAAAATACATAGGAACGATTTTTTTTTATAAGAATTTAAAGTTCCAATTTTGACTAAATAGGTAAAAATTACGGCAATGTTCAAATTATCTTAGAAATTAAGAGGACGCTACACCTTCATGTGTTGTCTCCGTCTTACAAGCACGTAACATTGCAAAAACTGTTTCGTGCGGGAAAGAACCGAGAATGCTACAGTCATAACTAAGAAACAAAATTCTCACCACAGATAAAAGGGAATTTCGACTGTGCAACGTTGTTTTTATTTTTTTGATATTAGAACTGAAAAAAAAGTTATTCGATTTTGAAAAACGCAAAAATAATGAATTTTGAAACATTAAGAACTTTTTTTCTATTTGTGATATCGAAAAATTGAAAACAACGTTGCATACTAAATGTTCTCCTTATTATGTGGTGAAAATTTCGTTTCTTAGTTATAATTGTAGCCTTCTCGCCTTCTCGGTTCTTTCCCGCGCGAAACAGTTTTTGCAATGTTACGCACTTGTAAGACGGAGACAACACATGCGGGTGTAGCGTCCTCTTAATAAAAGTCGTTCTTTTTAAATCTAAGATTTGAAAATTTAATACAAGGCTCTTAAAATATTTTTACAATATCAGTTGAAAAATAAAAGAGATATATAGTTGCAAAGTTTGAATTTTAACAACATACTTAAAAATCACGAAAATTTGCAAATTATTTTTTGCTAGAAACTCATAAAAAGTTTTCCTTTTATATCTAAGATTTGAAAATTTAATACAAGGTTCCTAACATATTTTTATAGTAGCAGTTAAAAAATAAATTAAAAGCATAGTAATAAATTTTTTTAGAAGCAAATAAAGTTTCATTCAAAGTTCAAATTTTGACTATAAATACGTAAAAATTACGGCAATGATCAAATTATCTTAGATAGAAATTCATAAAAATTTTCCTATTTAAATCTAAGATTTTAAAATGTAATTCTAGATTCCTTATAAGTTTGTCTACCTTTATCAAAAAAAAAAAAATGTCCGCTGGAAAGTCAAATATTTTAATAAGCAGAGCTCGGGGCTTAAAGCATTTGCTTATTTTTATGGATTGACTTAAAATGTAGTATAGTGCTATGGAAGTGTATGTCATGTTATAATACGTTTAATTATGAAGTTTGAAAGTGGTTTTTTCGCTTGTTTCAACGGTTTTTCAAAAAAAATGCTTATTTCCAGTTTTTCTAATTATTTTTGCTTATTTGAGTATTTGACTAGTATTTTTACGTTTTTATAATATTTTCAACTGTTATAAATATCGTTTACATTTCATTTTTCAGAAAATCCCTCGGAAAATCATAAAATCATTGAAGTCTTGAGAGTGAATTTTAATTTATTTTATAATATAAAGATAAAGATTTATTTTTTTAGATTTTTTTGTTTTTTGATAAATATTTTTGCAAAAATTTAAGTTTTGTAAATTCTTATTTGAGTGCTTGTAATGATGTTTTTAAGAGTTTTTTGAGCGCTTATTTTAATGATTAAGTGCTATAAGTCCCGAGCCCTGTTAATAAGTATAATAATAATCTATGATATATACTATACGGATAAACCACCTCTGCTCAGAATCGTTTTTCGTATACAATGATATAATATCATTGGATTCAAATTTTATTCCATCCATTATCATAACCCACTACCCACCTAATATACAATATGGACCATCGGGTCATGGATGTATATATTATATGTTAATATTACTACATGTTTTTTTTTACCTTATATTTATTTATTTATTATTAATACGGACAAAAGTTCACTTCACAATATTTTTGTATAGATAACAATAATTTAAAATAAAAGTATAACATAATAAAAGATAAAAATATTAATATGTAGAATAATATTAAAAATGATAATAATGACTATAAGAATAAGAATAAGAAAATATTCAATGTATATTAAAATAATTTACTATTTCCTGCAGACATTCAAATACTTATGGGGTCGTATGACGTATACTTTTTAGTCGAATGAGGAATATAAAATAAACGATTGTTGCGGGTGTAGTGGTTTTTGACTTTGAAATTTAATTGGCTTAATAAAAATGAATCATCAATCTCGTTATTCAGCAATTTGGTTAGGTTAGTAAGGAATGATAAGTGTCTACGTATTCATTTAATGATTCTAAGTTTAATAATTTTAAAATGTTATCGTAACCAGAGTGAGGAGTTCTTTGAATATTACATTTATGACATATACCTATAAATCTGAGAGCTTTATTTTGAACTTTTTCAAGTTAATCAGTAGGTATGYCCTACATTGTTGTGGTCCGAAATTAATGGAGCGTATTTTAGTAAAGAACGGACTAGTGTGGTCTATAGACATTTGAGAGCAAATGGATCACGAAAATCGGAACAGTTATATAATTAATAATTAATTGTATACAATTTTATTATTACAGTTGGGTATTCGTATTGATGTATTATCAATTATATCATATTAAGACGGCAGTGATTTTTATTTAGGCAGGCACGTATAAAAAATATTCCATAGTCCTGGATATCTAGTCCATATGCACCTGGCGGCTGGTACATCATGTCATCATCATAATTAATTTTAATTTTAATAATCATAGTAATATAATAGTATAAATGATGCTTATGGGCTATGGTGTTATTATTATAATTTTATTTTAAGGCTTAAATAAAGCGCGAATATGTAATAGCTGTTAACGGATAGGTATGTTTGGCATCAACGACGAGTTTATATATTATATTATACAGGTAGGGTATTATTCTTGTATACAAAAACAAAAAATAAACATGTACAAAAATTTTAATATCCGTCGGGGCACAGTGAATATTTATTTGTTGATTAATAAATCAATAAATTAATTTATATAAATATAAAATACAATTAAAAAATGTGACTAACTACTTACAAATATTAAATACGATTAAACATTTTTGTTACTTGTTTATTCAAGAAAATGGATTAACTAAAATAAAACAAATGCCGATTGTTCAWCCTATAGACGAATATAATATATTTAGGTATAGATTGTAATTTGTAGGTTAGTGCTTTTAATGAAGAAAAAACTTAATTATTGTACACGCCGTTGCGGCTGCGGAATACCTGATTACAATATATTTTTATGAAGTCTGTAACTTGGCAGAATTAAAAAGAAAAAATCGATTTCAGAAGTAGTAACCTTCCTATGTAGTCAGATAATCTGCGTTGTGATCGCAAAATGTCTTTCCACCGATCTGATGAACTTCATTCAATAGTCATTAGGTATTTCTACTTATTATAAATTATTATAGTTATATTCTTATATTGCGAAGTGTCTCATGTGTCCCATAATTTTCGCTTAAGGTCACGAGAGTAGTTAGTATCTAGGCCGATGGTCGGAGGTAGTGGTGACGGTAAATATATCGATGGACGGGTGGTGGAGGTACAATTGTGGTATTATCACCGGTGTTCGTTATCAGCATATTGAATGGTGGCCACCGTTTCGGGATTGGTCACACTGCGACTGTGCCCTTGCTATCGGATACAGCTGTAGGTCGTACGTCTCGACTGGTGAAATATTCCACCTTATCCGTTTCCTTGAGGCCGTGCCGGAGCCAATTTTTCTTAATTTCTTACCATCTTCGCCGAGAACGAATCGGCGTGCGTCACCTAAAGAAGTCCTTACCAGAACACTTTCCGTTGATCTTCTGATCGCCAGATCCTATCGCAGCCGCATCAATGACGAGTACTTTTTCATTTTTTAAGGCCGCCACTAGGTGGTCTAAAAACCACAAATTTGTAAGTAGCCTTTGGTCCGTATCTTTAATTATTTATCACCCAACTATTAACGCCCAACGTCTTCTACCCTTAGTCGTGGAATAGATACTCTATGTTTCTGCGGCTGTCACAACATGCCCAAAATCCGACAACACTCTTTTGCTGTAAATCTAGTTCTTATCATTTAGTGCGCTTTATTGGACTATTGGTCAATTACAGCGTTTTAAGGTCAATAGTTTTATTTATACTAAATGTCAAAGCTCTGTTTTAACATATTTGTTCCTTAACTTAATACAAAATGTGCATTATATAAATGTATGTACCTACAGTTAAAAAATGTGTTATTGAATGTATATTGATATATATCTAAATAAAATCTCTTGTAACGTTGCAAGTTTTCGCTTCATATTCTAATATTTTTTTGATAAGGTTTATTGGTTAATAAAGAAGTTTTTATCGTCAATGTATGTACTACTACTTAAGTATTACTTAAGTTCTCTATATTCAGTATATTAGTATATTCTATATCTTTAACAGTATCATTCCTTTAAAGTTTTTTTCATTTTCAAATCGCTTATATTTAAAAAAATGTTTCAAGATATTTGGTCATCAAGTTGCATTAAACAAATATTTTACTGTTGTATTGTAGTGTTCAATTTTGTATTTAAATTCTATTAAACCCTATTTTACTACATTATGTTGATGAAAACTGATTTTTATATTTGTTATAGTTATCTTCTTGATGTTTAATTAAAAAAATCACTGAGCATTTCATTTTATTTTAAAAAGTTAATTTAAAAGTTTGTTAGTTACATAAATATTAGCTATTGTTTTATACTTAATACTTTCTGAATGGCCATGTTAAATATTGAAGCAGTATTTCTATGGCCGAATTATTTATAAGCATATCCAAATACGAGTGCTAGCGACGATCACGGATCGGCGGCGGCTGTCAGCACGCTACTACTAGCGCCGATCCGTGATCGGCGGTGGCAGTGAACATGTTAAAGAACTAAACAATTCTTAACAATAATAGTGTGAACTATCTTAATTCAAACAAATTTAAAACTTTAAAAAAAATATATTATATACAATATACATCCTTTTCATAAACACTTATTTTAATATAACCTAGGTATGTTTTATCTAATGATAATCGTAGATTCGTTGTTTATATTTCTTTTTTTTATTAGATTAATAAAATCTTATGTGTAATAAACTCTTAATAACAAAACAAATTTGTTAGTACAATAACATTTTTTTTACACACAATTGTATGAAGATTGCTATACTCTGTCCCGCGAGAGGATATGCCAGCGTTGCACATGTAGAATGAGCTAAGCCTGCCGACCGGCCCGTCAAATTCCCTCTATGCGTTCAAAATTCACCAACGATGTCTACCGACATTACGATCCCGGTCAATTTTTAAAGATATTGTTGGGAAATGTGCTGAACCAACTAATTTTTGTTTTTGCACAGCATGTTCACTTGTGGGACAGAGTATAGATTAATATTTTTTGAATACTAATTTTGGTATGTTTTTACAGATCTTGTACATATTTGGTGTAAAATTCTTATAATTTATGTTATACTATTTTTTTTTTTTAAATCATGTGGCATATTTGTTAAGCTTATTCAAAAATGTTATTATTTTCAAATTTTCAAATTTGTTATATGTAATTAATTCACCGTACATAAATGTATATATTTTTAGTTTTTGACCAGTTTTGGTGTGTTAGCTGGTGGTGGTAGTTCCCTAATTTATGCACTTGAGCAATCAATCCATGCTTCTAATGACGCAGCTCATGTGGCTAAACAAAAATGGAATCATAATGGATGGTTTGATACTTTAGATCACGCTAGGTAAATGTCATGTTTTTCATAATATTTTCAGCCAATAATTTAATCAACATGTTATGTAGTGTTCGTCGAGGATGGGAAGTATACAAAAATGTCTGTGCTGCGTGTCATAGCGTTGAGTACTTGGCATATCGTGAGTTAGTTGGAGTTTGTCTGACCGAAGATGAAGCTAAAGCTGAAGCTGCAGAACAATTGGTAATATTAGTAAACATTTTTGATAAATATTGAGTAATTTGATAATAATGTCTTTTCAAATTTAGATTGATGATGGACCTGATGAAACTGGTGCCATGTTCAAAAGACCTGGCAAATTATCAGACCTGTTACCAAAGCCTTATCCAAATGAAGAAGCTGCTCGTTATGCTAACGGTGGTGCATACCCACCGGATTTGACTTACATAACTCAAGCTAGAATAGACGGAGAGGTAATTTCTTGGTTTTTGAGTAAAGCAATAAATGTATTAATTTTACAATGCATGTTTTTTTTTATACATTTTTAGAAGAAGTAAAATGTTATATTCTTTATCTTTAAGCGTTGTTTCTAGTAAAAAAATATCTAATCATTACTTTTAGAAAATTTGGCTTAAACTTAAAATAAATAACTAGAAACTAATTTGTTTTTTTCTTTATTTTAATTAAAAAATTATTTACTGCAGAAATATTAATATTTTTACCAAATATTTTATATTAGTATTTTGAGACATTGTGTAATTTTCAAATTATTTTCTTAGTATCTATTGCAATGACCTTTTCAATGTTAAGATGTACATATTTAGTGCATGGTAAATAAACATCCCAGGATATTAAGTTTAATTTTTATTTGTTTTTTTGTTTTAATATTTTAATAAATTAGTAATACTTAGTGCATGACAAATAAGATTTAAATTTTAAATTAATTAAAAAGTATTACATTTTTACTTTAGGTTTTATAAGTAAACATCTTCTCAAATCAACTCAAAAATATTTTTATATATATGTTTTTAATCCATTTATTTTGAAGCAACTATGCTATAATAGCACTAAATAGTTAAGTAATAACTTAATGAAAAAATGTTAAATTATCTTTTTATCTTCCAAAAAGTATTTATTTGAAAAATGTTCATTCAAATCTTTTAATTTTCAGAATTATATCTTTGCTTTGTTGACTGGTTATATGGATCCACCAGCAGGAGTTTCATTAGCAGAAAATCAACATTATAATCCTTACTTCCCTGGAGGCGCTATTGGAATGGCTCAAGCATTATATGATGAGGTAGATTATGACTAAAAAAGAAAACCATTGTTTTTTTTTTATTTGTTACTTTTGTATTTATTTACAAGAGTTTACTTACAAATAATTTTATATTTATATTAAATTTTTTTTCTTAGATTATTGAGTATGGAGATGGAACTCCAGCTTCACAAAGTCAGTGTGCAAAAGATGTTGTCACATTTTTAAAATGGTGTGCTGAACCAGAACACGATACAAGAAAATTATTTGCCATGAAAGTATGTTAAAGTACCTATATTAAATTATTATTGATGGTCATTAATTTTAAATATTTTTTTTAGGCATTTACTATCTTGGGAGTACTTAACTTAGTAATTTGGTACCTGCATAGACATTATTGGTCAGTGTTGAAGACTCGAAAGATTTTACAAAGCCCAAAATCATTGTTCAAAAAGTAAACTGTTGTTAGCTAGTAGTAGCCAAAAATTAAAACGTACGATATTCATTTTTGTTAAAACATCCTATGTTGATTTTATTGTTCAAGTTCTGTCTTAAAAAATGCAATTTTTATAAGTTCACTTCTATAATAAAATGTATGAAATTGTTTGTCGCAAAACTACTTTTCTGGAGCATAAAATCCTATTTCAATTACCATAATATTCTATAAATGTTTTAACTTTAATTACTACTAGTAATTAGTATTCCTATTTCTCCATTATATATTCTGATAATGAGTTTGTACATGATATATTATTATATATTATATAATATATAACCTAATGGTATACAGCACCTTCAATTTAAGTTTGAATTGACCATTATTAGTTGAAATATTCAGATATAAGTTTTGTTTTGAAATTAATTAAAATATGCTTACTATTGGTCGACTAAAATCGCATTGGTTGCAATATTAAACATGTAACAACATATATTATAGGTATTATATAAATCTTGTACAATATCATTTAGGCCATTTCCATCCATGCTTTTGACGTTAAGATAAAATAAATAATAAAATTATCATCAACCTTGTTCATATCTAATTGTTATTAAATCGTTTTGTTTATCGAAATCATTTTTATTTAAATACCTTTTTATTTGTTCTATTTTCAATCCTGGGTAATGAATTATCATGTATAATTTGAAAAGAAATTATGTAATATGGAATAACTTATCTTTTTATAATATTATTTCATGTATTTTAAATATCCAGTTTTAGAGAATAATTATTAGATGGTTTAAAATTGGATATTCTTATATTGCAGTAGGCTACATATTTTATTTGCAAAAAGAAGTTAAAAAAGTTATCAATTTTATCTTGAATTTGTGAATATTGTAAATAAAGGTTATGAGTGTTGATTTAGGAATGCAATAAGTAATAACCTAACATTTTACTATTTATTCTGCAAAATAATTTTCGTGTTAGAAATTGAGTTAAATAAAATACATTTTTCTATAATAGTTTTAAAAAAACCAATATTTATACATTACAATTTAAACTTAAATAATGATAGTAATTTTCAATGTCAGATTGTTGCTTACTTTTTTTTAAAACAAATTTAAGGTCTTCTTTGAATGCTTGGAATTTTAATAAAAGATAATTATTTCATTATCACGTTAAAATTGTATAAAGAATCAGAACTTTTTAAAATAAATTATTTGCATAATACATAATTTTTTTTTTAGATTTACGAAAGAATTTATTGGTATGCTATACTTTCTAAATATTGTTATATTTCCTATTTAGGTATATCTTAAATGATGTTTTCTTAAATTTACATTTTTATGGAATGGTAATTAACCAAACAAACAAAAAAAGTTTATGTTTAATAAAATCTGAAATATTTTATAAAAATAGGTGGAGGCATTTTTAAAAAACAGCAATTATATAACGAAATGAGCACTATCCGTTATGTGCCATTTGTTTTGACATTTGTTTGATTCTGGTATCTAATTCATAAATTCGTAATATTTTTTTAAATATAAAGTTATCTATAATATGAGTGTTATATATTCATAATGCTACTTTTATTTTTATAATCGATTTATTTTTAATGTATGAAATAAGAATAAATTAAAGTATTAATTGCTACAGTATGACACACATTTTTCTTTCTCTGATAGTCGATACTTAGTTTCATTAAATTATAATATTTTTTGTATTGACATTAAGATTAATTTTTTGTTAAATTTTAATTAAATAATTTTCAGTAGACCAATACTATATTCGTATGATTTATCATAAGTTGAAATTATTTTGACACTCAATATTATTATGAATTAAAATTACTTATTTTTGCTCATTCTATAGAATATGTTTCCAATAAATTTATTTGAAAATCCAATACACTATTTCAAAAGTGTTGATAATTTAGTCTATTTTCGTTATTTTTAGAAAAGAAATAGATTGTCAAAACAAAGATTATAATAAAGTTCTTGGCAATAAATCTTTATAAGTTGACTTATTTAGGGCTGGGAACCACATGTGTCGCCTTAGAAATTTTCAACATAATGGTTGAACAAATTTGTGTTCAGCAGACTAAATTTATATTTTATGTTTAATATTTTCATGTAATCAATATCAATTATCATAATGAACTATCATTAATTTTAAGGTAAGAACAATGCCAGTATTCAAGCATTGATTTTGTTTGAACAATATTTTAATGTTTAAGGAAGATACATCAAGTTTAACTTTGAGTTATGTGCAGTGGATAGGCAATAAATGAATTTTATATTACATATTTTTATTGTAACCTTTTGTTAAAACTTAAAAGTAATTATTAGAGCTTAAAAATTAGTATTTTTTTCATTCATTAGGTGCAAAGTACTATTAATAATAACAAAATATATTGAAGGTCAGATATGAACCAAGAAGGGTTAGGTTAGCATTATTGACAAATTAACCAGGAATAACAAGTAAGTATAGATGTTGTAGAAATTATCACTTTATTTTGAAATCTTTAATGTATAAGAAAATTATTAAAGTATCTAGATTATTATTTATAAAATATATATGAAAAGCCGTTGATTTCATCGATTGAAGACGGCTGAATCAATTTGGCTCATTTTTTTTTTTAATGTTCGTAATATTCCAAATGAAGTTATTATGGAAAGAAAAATGGGAAAAGTTGCCAGAGAATTGGAAAATTTGGTAAGAACGAAAGGTCTTTTTCCATGGGATTTTTGTATACAGCCATATTGGTAAAAAGGGTTACCATTGATGATTGGTTACGCAATATTAAAATATATTGATATTAGCAAGTTAGTAAAACTTTTTTAAAAACTCTTTTCTCTATGAATAGTTTCCACTGGTTACATAATATAATATAATTGATCTGAAGTAATAGTTAAATCTTATAAATGTTATATTTGGTCAATAAATTTTTAGTTATGGCTTAGGTTTCCAAAAATCAATTAAGGTAGCTCAGTAGCTCACATATTATCCTTTTTTAGCTCACTGAAAAAGAATATTATTTTTATGTTTAGGGCTGTCAATGATTACATAGTATTTTAATAGATATAGTAGGTATTAATAAATATTTAAATAGAATTATTACAAAAAAGAAACAAATTTTTGGCCCGACAACGCCGGGCGGGACGGCTAGGTCCTAGGTATAGTTATTATTAAAATTTAGGAATTCAATGTCCAATAGCCGATAGGTATTTAGTTCTAGACTTAGCGATATTATATTTTACTTTTCGCATTTTAATTGTTATTGAGAGTTGAGCCTATATAGCACCTAAATAAAATATTAAAATTGGCTCAAGGTTTTAGAATAGGTACAGGCACGGTTAACTTCTCTTATACAATACTGATGAGAGGTGTATTATTGTATCATATATAATCTGAAACCAGCTCAATAAATATAAAATAAGCTATATAATTGGAAACACGAAAATTAATTTTGGAACCGGTCCAATGTGCGACCTACAACTGATAATTGACCTATCCTTATCTTGTTATCTTAAATTATTATAAATGAAGTAGAACTAGAAAGTATAATCCATAGTGATGAATGGAGCGCTTATTCGTCATTAAACAATGAAGGGTACATACACAGTACCAGTGCCGTATCTAGGCATTGGCAAGGTGGGCGGTGGCAGAGGGCGCAGTTTAAAATGATCGCACTAGCACTAGGGGTGCAATTTTTATACCATTTAAATACTAAAAATTCATTATAAATTTATAACATTGGTTACCAAGGGCGCACATAAAGTTAATTACGCTTACGGCACTGCACAATACTTGTGAATCATCAAAAATGGTTTATTGATCCTGATACAAATGTCAATAATCAAACCATAGAATGTTTGTGGAAAATAGTGAAAAAACGATATGAAATAAGGGTAAACGGCGCATCTCCATTATTACCTAGACAACTTAATTATTAAAAAAGAGTGGTGGAGATCCCTTGACMCAAACAAACTATATTTGACGAATTTTTATCAGACATGAAAGATGCTTTTATGACATAAATTATACATACATTACGATGAATTCTTATCAGACAAGAAGGATAATTAATTATGGATGAATTAATAACTATAATAACTATTAATATGGATAAATTTAAAGGATTAAATAATAAATTACTTAATAACTATAGGTAATAACTATAAAAAAATGCAGTGTAGGTCAATACCTATATGTAGATCACTTATTGGACCGAAAATGTATGTGTAGGTCGCACGTTGGACCGGTGCCTTAAATTTTTCAAAACATTTTTTATGCCCTCTTAACATTAAATTCAATATAATATTATTTCAAGCGTTATTCGTCATCTAGATAAAATGATTTTGCTCTATTTACACTATAGTTTAGAGCAGTACCTGCCTAGTGATTCTCAAGCATTTTTGGTTCACGGCATACACATCACAAGCTTTTGTGGTACACTCAATACAAGATAATATAAAATTATAAAGTATCTTAAGTTCAATATTTTTTACCATCATAATTACAAAATATATCAGACATATCTCGGGGCACACAGGTTGAGAACCACTGGCTTAGAGTGTTAAGCGATAAGGCGGTATCTACGACCGTCGAATCGTCCGAAACGAAAATTTCGTCCCAGACTCCCAGATTTTTAAATCACTAAATTTAAATCGTTGTTTATAATAAATGTTTGGTTTTTTTTTTCTAATTTCAACTCATTTTATAAAACGTAAAATATCAGTTCAATTTATGCATAAAAAAATAAAATATATTAGAATTTGATTAAAATATTATAAAATATATATTCATATTATCTAAAATAATAACTAACCAATAATCACCTAACCTTATAACTTAATAAATGTATTACTAAATTTAATAATGTTCTATGTTAACAAAATATGACGGGTACGTAACGTTCGACCACCGACAACGGTCAACGACCTACCTCAATGCCCTAAATCGTAAATCGACGTAATGATTTTATTGCACAATATTATGCCATTGGTCAATGCCATTCGCGTTGTAGACGTTGTAATCTATATTCTATGGTAGACGTCTTATGAACAAACATTTCGACTATGATTCCCACGGACCTTTACGAGTACAGAGCAAACTATAGCTAACCCACCGACAATATAATATGGGTCGAGTGGGTGTCATGCGTACAGTCTAGCGCGTCCGCAGGGTAAAATCCCACCCGGGGCAAGATCAAAATTCTAAAACCAAATCAAAAAGATTATTTTAAATTTTAATATATTTCTAGCGTCTTCATTCTAAAATAGTATGACCCAAATAGGAAAAAACAACATTATGTAATCACCAAGTCCCGTATATGACGTGTAGGTTTACAATGCAATATTATTATTTTTTGAATACATGTTAATGTAGATGTTGCAAATTAATTATATTTACATTAATAATCAAATAAAAGTCGAATGGGTCGTCTTGGTTGCATACAAAACGATTGCATAACGTCTTCAATAATTTTTTGTTTTTGCTTTTTAACAATGTGTTTAACATAATAATATGCGTGGCATTAAATCAACAGTAGTTTTAAGTAGTTTTAAAATATTCCCAGTAGGGGCAATATCCCCTTTGCCCTCCCCCTGCGGGCGCCATTGGGTACAGTATCTACGACTGGGTTGACGGCAACGATTTACTGCGGCGGGTGCGATGATTTACAATCTGCTGCAAGTTGCAACGCCGTGATAGCTGGGCTCCGCGTTATCACGCGAAAACCGTTTTATCACCGATAACTATAAATTATCAGTCTTTTAGACGGTTTCTCGAGCGGACTGCTCAGTAGTCTCCACTCTCCAGTCAAGTCTAATTTATTCTCGTTCGCCGACGACGAAGACGACGACGACGACGACGCCATTACCGAGATGAAGTTCTTTCAGGCGGCCTCGAGGTGGTCGAGAAACCACAAGTTTGTAAGTACTCCCAGTTTGACATCCTACCGTAACGTTTCGCACGGCGACGTCCCATGTTTCTTCGGTATTCATCGAGTTCTTCGCTGTATCGTCAACCTTGAAACGTTCGGTTCTTAAGATTTTTGAATCGTTCGGAATTTAAAACTCTTTGCCAAGTTACTTTGGTTCAGTCTGTTGACAAAGACCATACACTGATTGCACATCTGACTCTACGGCATCGGTCGTCGAGGCCATATCTAAACACGTTGACAGCCGGTGGCCTCAAGAATATTTATCATGTGTACGTCAAAGAATTTTTTCAGTGTCATTATAAATTAGTATTTGTATATGGTACTATTGAATTTGAAAAAAAATTAAAAATACAAACAAAAATGTTAAAATTATGTTTATTACATCAAAAAAATTGCAATTATTCCCACTACGCCACAGCATATTTTCAAGATCATTATTGTAGCGCCACTGAACAGTTGATAATATAAATTCAAAATTATTTACGGCAGCCCGCGGCCTTATGGCCTCCTACGAATGATATGGTGCGGCACCCGGCAGTCTAAAAATTATACTTAATTATTGTAATACGGACGCCGGCGGCTGCATGGCAGTCAACGTGTTAAAACTGTGGTCTTTTGACTTAAAGTAACTGATTCTATTATTTTTGAACAGATTATTATCCAAACTATATTATGGACGCTTGATTGATGATTGATGTATGTGTATATTTTTACTGTGTTAGTGTTATGTTAAAAATTTGTTTGGTATTTAAACAAGTTATTTAGCATGTTTGTTTTTAAATTAACCATGAGAATGTTTTCATTTTAATTAATGAATTTATTCTTCTTAAACATTTTTTTAAAACTATTCGTATGATGTTAGATTCCTTACAAAGTTATGGTTTTTCAATTTTTTTTTTATATGTTATATAATGTAGTTTAAATACTATTATATAGTATAAATACTATTAAAATAAAAGTAGGTACTTATACAATTATTAGTAAGTAAATACCTAATATGCCATTCATTTACCATTCATTAGGTTTTTTTTTTAGTTTCTTAGTATTTTTAGTGTGTTGAGGCCATCAAATAAATGAAATAAAATTTTGGTTAGTTGAATATTATAACTATTATTTTAAAAAAAATGGAATAACTTATTATTTTATACTAAAATTAATTTCTAAATACTTTGAAACAACTTTTCGGCTAAATCATAATTTCTTGTACATACATATTACCTACTTAGTATGATATTTCCATATCTACTATTGTTTGAGATTCAAAATTGGAACATAATATATATATATATATATACATATGTGTGTTAAAAATAGTATTTTTTTAAATTTTAATAATTTATGTTCTTAAAACATTTTTCTTAGTCATAATTTTAAATTTGACAAAGCTTATTTATAAAATGTTGTTACTTTCTAAATTTAAAATTTGTAATTTTATATGCCATTAAGTTAACATTCATAAATATATATATTTTAGTTTTTGACCAGTTTTGGTGTGTTAGCTGGTGGTGGAAGTTCCTTAATTTATGCACTTGAGCAGTCGATTCAAGCTTCTAATGACGCAGCTCATGTGGCTAAACAAAAATGGAATCATAATGGATGGTTTGATACTTTAGATCACGCTAGGTAAATGTCATGTTTTTCATAATATTTTCAGCCAATAATTTAATCAACATGTTATGTAGTGTTCGTCGAGGATGGGAAGTATACAAAAATGTCTGTGCTGCGTGTCATAGCGTTGAGTACTTGGCATATCGTGAGTTAGTTGGAGTTTGTCTGACCGAAGATGAAGCTAAAGCTGAAGCTGCAGAACAATTGGTAATATTAGTAAACATTTTTGATAAATATTGAGTAATTTGATAATAATGTCTTTTCAAATTTAGATTGATGATGGACCTGATGAAACTGGTGCCATGTTCAAAAGACCTGGCAAATTATCAGACCTGTTACCAAAGCCTTATCCAAATGAAGAAGCTGCTCGTTATGCTAACGGTGGTGCATACCCACCGGATTTGACTTACATAACTCAAGCTAGAATAGACGGAGAGGTTATTTTTTTAAGAATATGTCAGCACAATTTTTGTTTTCTCTTTCAGGCCTATGCACAACATTGATAATACGTTTTCATGTAATATCTGGTTTTATGTTAGGTTAAAAATTTCTGTTATAAAATTTATAGAGGATCATATTTTTGAAGGTTTGACATTTTGAATTTATATTTTATTAGCAGTGCATAGAACTTAATGCTCTAAAAAAACAATGAAATATTTGCATACATATGCACTAAAAAAACCACAAATATGTATTGTAATATGTACTTCATTCTTAAAATTAAATATGTTTTTATATCAAATTAGCATGGAAAATATCATTCAGAGTCCAACGTATTAGTAATATCAATTTTCAAATTTATTTATTGAATTTTACAATTCCTAAGTGTCAATCTTGGTATTGCAACGGTTATGATAGGTTCTTGATGTAATAGGAGTATAAATTTAGTATAATATATCTGGAGCATTATTTTTTTGTAAATTTATATTCCTGATGGTGCTTTTTAAAATAGGTTTTTACATTTTAGCTAGATAACTTTTAATCAACTAGTATGTTCAATTGTATTAGTACTTTTTCCTAACCATTGAGTCTATAATCTCGTAAATTTTTTTATTGAAAAAATATTTAAAAATACATTTGCCATCATAAAAAATTTACAATTAATATTCAGTATAAAATTAAAAATTTGTTTATTGGTGATTTATATTAAATCATAAACATAATATGCATTTCTATACTTAACATTTATAAGTATGCACAATCATATATGTTAGTATAAATATTTGTACTTCAAATGTATGTATGAAACAAATTTATATGGAATCACATTTTGAATATACAAATGCTTAAAGTTTTTAGCCCTATTTATTATTATTTGAATTTTTAAATAAAATAATAATTACGTAAAACTTAAATGGATATTCGATTGTTTTGAAACAATATTTTGAAAAATTGATTTGTTGTAATCTCACAATATTATTATTATTTTTTTAATTTTTGAACAAATTTAAACTGAGTTTACTCGAAAAAATAAAAATAATAATCTTACGTCAATACGTTGTGTTTATGTTACACTATGGTCAGAAGGAGAAAACAAAAGTGCTGGTTTTTCCTAAGTATAGTTTTCAGTTATGATGATTGAAAATCCACGATAAAGAAATGATTTTTTAGTTGATTCTTTTATAATTTAGAATGAAAGTATGACAGTAATATTGATTGCTTAAGAGGACGCCACATCTGCATGTGTTTTCTTCGTCATACAAGTGCGTAGCATTGCAAATTTTACATTCAGCAAATCTCGTTTATCTCCTTCAATTTAAAATTTAGAGTGAATTGATCTATTATAAAAATTAAAGGCAAGATTATTACTGAGGGTATCTCAATGGGCTTTTTATTATATTTTAATTTTAAACTGAGATAAGTATTTTTAGATATAAAAATAATTTACAATTTTAAAATACTCATAACTCACTTTATAATTAAAATATAATAAAAAGCTAATGAGATGCCCTCGGTAATAATCTTGTCTTTAATTTTTATAAAAGGACAATTCACTTCAAATTTTAAATTAACGGAGATGAATGTGATCTACTGAGCGTAAAATTTGCTATGCTACGCATTTGTACGACGGAGACAACACATGCGGGTGTGGCGTCCTCTTAATTCATGAAGTTTAAACATTTTTCCAATATATACGAGTACTTTCAAGAAAAGTGAATGTTTTAATGAATGTGTACCAGCTCAGGCAAGAAGTTGTTGGACGAACTTGCTACACAAAATATTTACAGGCCACCCAATGATATTGTGAAGTACTCAAGGCTAAAATAATTTTAGTTTTTTATGTTTAAACTTCTATTAAGATATTTATCATTATCATATAATTATTTTTAACATTGTGTTTTTTCGGCAATTACAAATATTATGAAGAAAAAAAATTTACTTCTGAACCTAACCTAACTTCTGTATACCTATTTCAGTAATTTGTAACAATGATGTTAGATAGGCAATGTTAATATTTCTTTATAAGAGGATATAATATTTTAATGCTACTTTCCTAAATAACCACCTATAATTTTCATATAAACTTAAAAAAATGTTGGGTAATTTAATATCTTCTTAAAAATATTTACTTACAAATGTTAATTTGAAATCTTTAAATTTCAGAATTATATATTTGCTTTATTGACTGGTTATATGGATCCACCAGCAGGAGTTTCATTAGCAGAAAATCAACATTATAATCCTTACTTCCCTGGTGGTGCTATTGGAATGGCTCAAGCATTATATGATGAGGTGAAAATTTGAAATATCTTTTGTCAAATAACCATGTATTTTGGTTGTGTAAACTAAAAGAGATCCATGGTTACATAAAAATATCAACATCAAAGATATAAAAATTAAAAAATATTTAAAAAGTTTAAATAATATTAAAAGTGAATATTGTTTTTTTTTAGATAATTGAATATGGCGATGGAACTCCTGCTACACAAAGTCAATGTGCTAAAGATGTTATCACGTTTTTAAAATGGTGTGCTGAACCAGAACATGATACAAGAAAGTTGTTTGCCATGAAAGTATGTTATTTAAAATATTTACGTTAATTTTACATCAATATAAATTTATTGAAATTATTTTTTTGTTTAGGCGTTCACAGTATTAGGAGTTCTTAATTTAGTGATTTGGTATCTGCATAGACATTATTGGTCAGTATTGAAGAGCCGTAAAATACTGCAAGGCCCTAAATCATTGTTCAAAAACTAAACTGTTTTTAGCTCATGCTAAAATTGAAAACTATAAAAGTTAATATCAACTCTTGTATGTATGTTAGAAGTCAAAATTTGTTCTCTCAAATTGCATTTTTATAGACCAAATGGAATTTTATATATTATATCTTAATTAATTTGAGTAATTTAAAGCAAATAGTTTTGAACTTTTTTGGAGCTGTATTATGGACTACAGTATTATTTTAACTTTAATTTTTCACATAGTATGATGAATAAAATATAACTCCGTTGTATATTAGTATTTATTTTTAATTCAAAAATTGTCGTAAAAAATTTTGAAAGGAAGGCAGTTTATTATTATTTTTACTTAATATGTAGTTAGAAGGTATACAATTATAAAAAAAATGTTGAATTAAGATATAGTTTTTTTGAGAATATTTGGAATTTTATCTTTTATTTTGTTTACAGAAAAGTAGAAAAAATTCATATTTAGTATTATACATAATGATGAAAATCTGTGAAGAGGACTTTATATAAAAATTAAAATTACACAACTCTTAACACTAAGTATTGCTATTTTTAAAATCTTAGTTATTTTTGAAGCACCATAACTGGCATAGCTGTGCATGAGTCACAGCCATTTAATGAAATAGCATTGTAACTCTGCTACACAAAAGTTTTTTTGGTACTCTTACTCTGTAATAATTTATTTTTTTTATCATTTTAGATTCACAAAAGATATTTACTATGTATTTTTAATATTATAATAATTAACATTCTTAAGTAAGAACATATATTATATGCATTATTAAAAAAAAAAATGACTTCTTATTAGGTACTTGTATAATACATATGATATACACATCTAATGCCTTAAATGTATGAAGTTTGAGAGTCATACATAAATTCTACACTTACATAACATTAAAATGCATTAATATGATTTAAATTATAAAATATCTTATAGGTCTTTCATTAAATATATAAAACATTAATCCTTCACTATTTCAGGGCTTGCATTGATAGTGTATTTGTGTACGTTTGATACTGATTTTGGAAACATTGCATGCTTTTTCGTATAAGCTGGTTCTTAATCGTTAGCAATTTTATGTTTTATTAACTAATCTTGGAAGGTACTTTCTATACTTTTAATTTTATTATAAGTTAATTTTATTGTATTAATTGATATGGCTTCAGATTTATTGATAAATGTGGAGCTCCAGTGTTTTAGATATTTCAGTCATGAGGAGATATAGTTTATGCAGAGCCAG